CTACACTTTGCGAAGAATATTTCAATACATCCGATTCAACACTTTTACCCTTTTTATCGTTCAGCAGTCCAACTGTAGCATTTCCGAAGACGGCATGGGACGGATGAGCTGGCCTTGCTGATTGGCCTAAAAAGCATTTCTTGAGGACAGGAGACAAAAATATGGTTTTTTCTTTCTTACTTTCACTTTAACGCCTATTTTTCTAGCACAACAAAATAAAAATCAACTACTTGTCATAGTTTTCTTTGGTGTCAAATAATATTAAAATCACCTTCGGGACAAATCAAACACAAAGAAATTTAGAAGCAAGCTTCTCGGCAAACGTGTAGCGGCCCTAAAAGGAACGAAATCACATCACGACGTTTGATGTGATTGGATAAACGAGGAAAAAAACATGTACTCACATTCCATGGAAAGAACGAACAGAGCACTGAAGTCATAATGGATGCTCTGGAACAGGAAGTGCAGGTGTGTGGTCTGAAACAACAAATGATACCGAAAAGGTGATGATCGAGGTAAATCTCACACTCTGTAGAAACTACCTTTCCATGAATACCTTATCCTTGACAGACAAAACACCATGTTTTGATCTCGATACAAGTGCTCTTATCAGGATACCATGCGTATTAATTCGAGATATTTCTGTGAGTGTTGAGTGAGCCACAAGTTAGTAGAACAGAGGCGACAAGGTGTAGCGCTGTCATTTCGAATTACTTTTCGCATTTAGCAGAGATCGTGACAACTCCAACTGAATTTGATGGATTCGCAATGTAAATTCCTCTGCTCCACGAGGATCATACAAGTGGAATTCCCTCAACTCGGCTGCGAGTGACTGCGCTGGAATCACTAGCTCTGACAGCTGTACTTTCACCAATAACCCTCACCGATCGATTCGTATTTATCTGGTGCCTCGAATCCGGCTTTCAACATCGTAGTCAACTGCTCAACTCCTAAAAAATGTAAATTACAATAGCATAGACTGAATCTATTCCTACCATTGGGTTTTGTCGATCTCTTCTCCTTTGTTTTTCTTGGAAATGAAGATAATCTTTTCACCGATGACTCATTTGTCGGAAATCAAAAATTAGAAACGAATACTCGGTCAAGATACTAACTTGTTCCGTTGCGTTTTCATTGGCATCCACAACATTCTCCAGTTCTTCTACGTCAATATTCGTGTATCTCTCCCTGAAGTAAATACTGAGACTAGTTTTAGAAGCCGTTCTTAGAAAACTTACCCTTGATCGGTGGACGACTCTAGAAAAGCTAATTCACGATAAAATGGCCACGAGGTTATTTTCTCAAGTGCCCCCGACTCCGACCCGCTAGACTTTCGCAAAACATCTTGAAATTCTCTTCTTTTTCTTATGTATACATCTCTCAGATTTTTGAAAATCTTCTGAAGCGCATCCACTAAAAAACACTATTATGAAAGAAGAAATCTGCTGATTTTCACCAACCTTCAAAAGGATATCCAAATTCGGTTTCCATATCTTCACTCACGCTGCGCCACTCCGATGCGCGCGCTGTGTAGCTCTTAAAATTAGGGTCCCTATCGTACCATAATGATGGATGTCTTTCAACTACTTCGACTAAGTAATGTTTTTCTGTGTCGTTCAAACGAATAATGGATTCTGGGCGGGCTCTTTTCACCTAAAAGCTTACTCTTATCCTTCAAGAATCTACCCTGAAACCTGTTATTTACCTTCGACAGATTGAACTCAGTCATTTGGACTCCTTATACAGTAAAGAAAGAATAACTTTCTTGTTCCTAACGGCTGGAAAAGATACAAACCATTAACGTACTGAACGCGAATTATCCGAGATAAGTGATGGCCTTCGAAACGAATAAGCCGTTATTTAAATCATATTCTCAAGATCAAATGATGAAACTGTACTCATTATGCTATGCTCAGTCACGATTATTACACGATTACGTCACGACGATCAGACATATGTACAATGGGATGGTCCTATCAGCAAAATGACAATCTTTTTCAAAATATGTAACACTTGTGCAGATAAAAATGCTAGAAACTTAAGGTAGCAGGTACTACCACTTAATTCGAAAATGGAACCACTTATAGAAGAGGTAAAGCCAAGACCAGACAAGTAAACATACTACGAACACAAAGCCTACTCTTATGAGTTCCACGTAATGCAAAAGCAACACTTCAATCGATTGACGTCGACAAAAGATAAGAAATGGTGTAAAAGGAAAACACAGTGACAATACTGTAACGAGAATGTTGATTTTCTACGCACTTCAAACCTACATGAATGATAAATCCTTGCGAAGATCTTCAACTTCCTCACTGACTTCGAGTAATTCAGTTCACATAGGTACAATCACTTAGTTAAGTACGCCAGATATGAGCGATTACCTGCACCACAACTGAAAGTAAGTCAATAACAACAAAATAGACAGCAAACAGATAATTACACTTACGGCATTGAGACTTTCATCTCCATTCCAAAAAACCTGCCAATAGCAAACAGATAGAACAGAGGCAGAAACGAAAAAGGAAAGCGCATGTGTCACTAAGAGCAGAAAAAAAACAAGTTGCAATAACGATTGTCTGAAACGTGACATACAACCATGGAATACTTGCTTAAAAGGTAGACTCACCTAGTAAACAATCTTCAGCTTAATCCATCGCGATTAGCAAAGTAACGAGTCAAGCGAAGTCGTTGCGCGTGTGCTTCGGTATGGACTTGCCCCTGCGTCCTAGATGAGCGTTCTTCCACGGCGCCAAGATTAGTTTCCACCTGCGGATATCTAGCGGTTATTTCATCTCGAGAGAGTTTTTTGGCGAGAAGATTGTGTAAAATCTGAAAAAATTACCCTGGTAATTTAAATTACTGACTACTTCACTATACTTACGCATGCAGTGATGATGACTAGCTTGATATGATCTGGAGTTCCATGCAACGGGGCTTGAAATACGCGGAATCGGGAACTTATGATGCCGAATACGTTTTCGACGACCCTTCGTGCACTAAATCAATAGTCAATGATTCAAAGGAAACTGACTCGTGAGAAGAATATAATGGAAGACATACGAGCTAAAGCATGTGTTAAAGTGCCCCTTCCTAACAT